AAAAAAAAAAAAAAAAAAAAAAAAAAAAAAAAAAAAAAAAAAAAAAAAAAAAAAAAAAAAAAACCTTACAGAGAATAAACCTTACAAGTGGTGCTGAAACCTGGGAGGAGTTGTAAGACCCCTCCTGGGGGAAACTGACTCCTTCATCCAAAGCTGGACCAGGGAACTGCTCCACCACAAGGTAAGACTTCTGTTGCCCACAGCCTCTCCTGCTGCCTGCCTCATGGACTCCCTGCTCGTAATCGCGGCTGCGTCAGGGACTCCTTCTCGTTTCTCGCCATGGGGCCGGAGCCCCGGCCTCGTCCCGAGGACCTGAGCATAGAGGAGATGTCCCTACACTCTTGTCCTCTCCCCGTGAGGGATTTCTCAGGGTCAGGATTCTGAGGGAGACGTCCCCACCTTCCTGAACCCTCTCGTATTCTCTGGTGTTTGGAAGTGCAGTCCGGGATGCCTTCTGAACATCTCCGCAGTAGCAGCCAAGTTTTGGGTATTCAGAAGCCCCATTTGCAGACCCGGGCCCTGCCTAACAGCAGGACCAAATCCCCCGGCTTACAGCACTAAAACGTTTATCTTAAATCAGCCTTTCGGCACATAAACTCCCATTAATTAAGTAACTGTACTTTTGGTTTCTCTTCCTAATCCCGAGCGAGTGAGTGAGTGAGTTTATGTGTAGTACCACGGCCTGACGGCTACAGGGCTTGTGTGGGCCTCAACCCGTGGTTCCACGGGAACATCATAAGGCATAACGGTGATTCACCTCAGGAAACTAAAGGTGACCAGGCCCGGGGATTATACAGGAACACCTTAGCCAAGACGCCCTGAAACATCCCTTCGGGGACGTGGCCGGGAAGGCATCAGACTGGTCTCCCATCTAGGGGGCACCCACCCTTTGTCCATCAATCCTATATTTGGTTTTGTCTCAGATAGCTCTAGCCCTGTCTCTTTTTATTTTCTTCCTTGTCATAATCGTTGCAGCCTGTAAGTTCTCTAGCCACCCTCCCCGGGGAAAGGAGTATTCCACCCCGGGAAAAGAGTTTTTCTGCCTGCGTTAGGTATAATACCTTTCCGTATTCCTTTCTTACCCCTAACTACCCCACAAGAAGGTGAACCATGGGCAATCAAAAGTCCCGCCCAGACCCTAAATCGCCATTAGGGTGCCTAGTCCAAAATCTACCCAAACTGGGTCTTTCCATTAAAAAGAAGAGGCTGCTTTTCCTCTCTACCATGGCTTGGCCACAGTATTCCCTAGACAACCAGTCTAAGTGGCCTCCAGAGGGCACACTCAACTTTAATGTCCTAACAGACTTAGACAACTTCTGCCAAAAGGACAGTAAATGGTCCGAGGTCCCCTACATGCAGGCTTTCTGGTACCTTCGCTCCCGCCCTGCCCTCTGCTCCTCCTGCACTACTGCCCAAGTTCTACTAGCCAAGGAAACTTCCTCATCGCCTTCTGGTCCTCCACCCTCCTCTTCCTCCCTTTCTGACCCTGACCCACCCGAAGAACTTTCCTTTCCATTCGCCCAACCCACCGATCCCCCGCCTTATGTGAAACCTCAACCCCCTCCTGCTCCTCCTCTTCCTAATCCCAACTTAACCTCTCCTGTTAGTGCTCACACCCACTCATGCTGTACTCTCAATAAGACTCCTCTCCTATGCCCCCTCCACAAAGTAGCTGGAGCAGAAGGCGTTGTCCGAGTACACATACCCTTCTCCCTCTCCGATCTATCAGCCACTGAAAAACACCTATGGTCATTCTCCACCAATCCTACAGCTTATACCAAAGAATTTCGTTACCTCACCCAGGCGTACGACCTAACCTAGCATGATACCTATGTAATTCTGTCCTTCACTCTTACTCCCGATAAGTGTGACCACATTCTTACAGCGGCCTGAGCTCATGCTGATCAGGTACATCTCACAAACAATCAAATGCCAGTAGGCACAGCGGCAGTCTCCCAGGGAGACCCTAATTAGGACTATCAAACCGGTCAAGATGGCCGCCGCCACCGAGACCAAATGCTACAGTGCCTCTTAGTGGGCGTGTAGAGCGCAACTCAAAAAGTAGTTAATCATAACAAGTTAAGGGAAATAACTCAGGGTCCTAATAAAAACCCAGCTGCCTTCCTAGACCAATTAACTAATGCTATGATCCTCTATACCCAGCTAGATCCAGCCTCCTTAGCAGGGGCTACAGTCCTAGCCACCCACTTCATCTGCCAGTCGGCAGCTGATATAAGGAGGAAACTTTAAAAAGCTGAGGAAGGCCCCCAAACTCCCATATGGGACCTGGTGAACACAGCATTTAAAGATTTCAATGGCTGAGAGG